CCTCTGCAGTTTTTGAGATCGATTCCATTTTGTTCTAAGACGTCTATAATAAGCTTTGCAATGTCAGCACCTATCTTTTTTTCTAGATTCTAGATAATCGATATCACAATAGAATAATGGTAAATAGATTTACCTCTGAAACTAAGGTTTTGTGACTCTAAAAAAAGAGTAACATCTAAGATGCATCGTATAATTTTACGCCACCTGGCTGCTTCATTTCTTTTCGAGTTTTCAAGAGCTGCATCTATTCCGCTTTGATTTTCTAAGCTTTCTAGCGCCGTTTTCCATTCTATGTAAAAGTTTTGATGCTGGGCGTTATTCTGGTGACTTTTGACTTTCTCAGGTAGCTTGTGCCAGTTACAGCTTATTCCATCATTCCATCTTAGAAGGTGCGACTGGTGTCCGATCCCAAAAGATTGTTTGCTTCCAAACAGAGAACACGGAAAGCAAATAAATGATTTCTTAGATACACTCCAGTCTAGCCAATCTCGGCATGTCTTCTCCCCATTGAGAGAAGTTTCGTAGAAAATTGATTCAGGAACCTTCTTCTTATTAGAGTCTTTCGGGAAAGCTTAAGGATTTTGAGGAAGCCCCTGTAGAAGCACAGAATCTCTTTCCACTTTGGAAAAATGTGCTGCCCTCAAAGCAGGATCATTGGAAGGAATGGTAGCGATGGGTTCTTCTGTTGGCAACAACTGAGAATAAATTTTAAAAAATCTTATTTTATTAGCTTAAAAGTTTATTAACATCATTTCTTTTAAAGAGGTAGAACTTACCAAAATATTCTCTTCATTCACAGCTACCATTCCGATATTTGATAGGGGCTCTCCCGAGCTTTCAGAAATGTCAGTGACATTGTTTTCAGTTTCAACCTATAAAAATAAGTTAAAAATTAATATAACATTGAAATAATCAAATAAGAAAATATCCTTTCACAGGGAAAACTATTTACTACTTGAATCGATTGACTTGGCAGGGAAGAGTTTGAAGCAGTAGGACTTTCATCTTCTCTTTTTTTTGTAACTGTAATACCACAGTCTTGAAGAGTGCGTTTGTTCTTTTACTCATTCGCAGTTCTTTGAGCAGCATTCTTTCTTACTTGACAACCAGAATCTTTCTTTTTAAAACCAGACATGTTTTAATTCTTTTTGAAACTGCATCCGCTCATAAGCAAAGAACTGCTTGAATTTCTTCTTGATTGGGTCTATCAGACTATCACATCGATAAAAAACCCGTTATTTACTGTTTTATGATGCCAAAGTTATTCTAAATTCTCAAATTGTTCATACTTACATTAAGAAGTGATGATATACACGATAAATATGCAGTATCTGACTTTTTAAATGAGTTATTTATTGTAGAACACAGCACAAAACGTGTATATTTTCACGTGTTTCAAAATTGTTTCAAATTTGAGAGATTTTAAAAATTAGAGAAATAAATTTAATAAAATTGTTTTAATATTTTATATCAATATCAAACTACTTGGATTTAATCTAATCTCTTTTTTTAATAAAGTAAAAAATCTCCGTTTTTAATTGAATGAAAATCTCCGTGCACTAAAGTTATTTTAAACATTTACTTCAGCCGCTGAAGTAAATGTTTAAAATAACTTTTTATTAATTTAACAACCCGCTGAAGTTCAGCGGGTTGTTAAATTAATCATTAGTATTCACTTTATTTGCGAGTTTCCGCTATATAAAAAGAATCGCTTTATTTAAAACTAATGTTTTGAAAGTAATGCTAATTTCTTAGTTTTAAAGCATCAATTTTTTTTATCTAAAAGTCCAAATATGAAGCACTTCATTACAAAGTTGAAAATTTAAACTAAAAAAAATTGACCGGCTAAAAAAAGCAATTGACCGTCTATTATGTTTTAGCTGCTCAAATTGACCGGCTGCTTTTGATTTCATATTTTCCACGCTGCTTCCCAGTACTTCATCTTTTTTTTAAATAAACATGAAAAAAAAAATTATTTGTATTCGGCTTCGTGCGCCCCTGTCGACCTGACGCCCGGGACAAAACAACCCAGTAGACCCCCCCTCCCTCAGGGCGGCCCTGCAAGTATTTTAAATATATTTAAAAATTTTGTGAAACTATTGATGTTTTTCTTGAAAGTATAAAAATAAGTTTGAAAGGTAGAAACCTTGAAAGTTAAGAATCTTGATTTATATATATATATATATATATATATATATATATATATATATATATATATATATATATATATATATATATATATATATATATATATATATATATATATATATATATATATATATATATATATATATATATATATATATATATATATATATATATATATATATATATATATATATATATATATATATATATATATATATATATATATATATATATATATATATATATATATATATATATGTTCTTTATGTTCTTTATGTTATGTTCTAAATTTTCGTTTTTTATGTTATGTTCTTTATGTTATGTTCTAAAAGGTATTAATCGGGAAAAAATTAATAGTTATAATGAATTGTTTGTTAGACGAAATTTGGACTTTTAAAAAGTTATAGTTCTAGCCATGGTTTTTAAAAATTGGTCACATAAAATAACTGCTTTTAAATAAATTAAAATAACTTAAGTTTTAGCCTTAAAATTTCCTAACAATCAGATTTTATAGCTTAGGTATGACCCCATGTAAAACTGATATTGGGTGTCTGTAAAAGATTAATAATATTCAATTCGAGATCACAATATTAAAAGTTTATTTTTATTTGAATCAAAATAAAGTCGCTACTGGCGGTTGTCAAACCCAGATTAGCTTAAATAAAATCATTCTGCACTGTTATTGTGATTTACTTTCAATTTTAATTACAGAAAATATTTAATTATGTTGTTTATTAGAAATAGTCTTTCTTTTAAAAATTTATATCTTTATCATGAAATTTTAATCTCATTTATTAATCCTTTAACATTGTGATCATAATATGATTATCATCATCATTTGAAAATGTATATTTAAAATATGCAACTCGTTTTCTACGTTTAATAATATCTTAATTATCATTATAAAAATTTACTATTATTAAATAGATATAAAATCGTTTTAAAGTTATGACACCATCTTCGCTCCGAAAAAATTAATTAATGTAATATTAATTTTGTTACGACGTTGTAATAAGTTGCCAATGTAAGTCTAACATAAAACCAAAATTATATTATTATCGGGTCTCATATTCTAAATTTAACAATTAAAACTAAAAAAGCCTCATTACTTAGTAAAAATAATATCTGTAAAAATAGTATCAATGAATGCATACCTGATCAATTACAAATTGACAAGCATTAATGTAGCTTTGGTTGTCACACTTTCCAGTAATAATTTTTAAATTATGCAACGATGTTCTAGAGTATTCATTGTAAAATATGTCCAGAGTTATAAAATTGTTTGATTCTTCAATAGATTTTAAACGCAAATTTTGGACTAATGCCTCGCTTAAACAACTTATTTTTGCTAGGTACTTACTATCTTTAAAAATATGTAGGTCTTTAAATTTTTCAATTTGAGAAACATAATAATCTAGATCATCAAACGATAGTTTGTTTTGATTTTCGAGACATCTGCTAAGTCTTTCTTTTGTATCTTCGTAACATCTTTCAATATGATTGCATACAAAATCAATCGTTTCTTTCAAAATTTGCTTAAGCTCGTTTAATCCTAAAGTGTCACACAAAAATTTAAGTTCAAGTATTTTACATTTTATCAGATTATAATTGTGGTTCTTAGCGGCACATATTATAGCAGACTTATTGTATTCGGCTTGCTTATGCAACGCACTTTTTGATCGTTCGGTCATTGTGTACCTAAACACTCGTTTCGGATCGTCAATGCAAGGTGTATTAATAATCTTATTTAAAACATCTAATGGGTCATGATTAATAAGGTCTAAATATAACCCGTTTTTTTTAGTTTTTTTTAGCATATCTTCAAAAATAGTTTTGAATGATTCGTCGCTAGGCTCGGACAACTTTTCAATGCTTCGGTAAATGTTAAGAAGACTTGCGTAAATGTCATTTTCTGGATACTTAGTAAATAAATAAGAAAATGTAGACAAATATTCTTCAATGTTTATAACCATATCCTGAATCATTCGTGTCATTTCGCGAATACCTTCACCTCGACCACCTTGATTTTGATAATTTATTAAAAAAAACTGGTCGAACGCTTTTGCAAGATCGGATTCCTTCAACTAAACTAATACTATTAGCAATATCCACTTCAGGACCAGCAGTATCACCAAAGCCGGGTGAATCGCATAATATTATAAACTTATCAGTAAATGCACCCAAATCTTTTAAATTGATTTGAATCGGATTTATGTATCTGCTTTCCGATTCGGCATGGCAGCTTATAACAAAATTAGATAAAGCATCCGGAAATGGTTCTGCTGCTGTAATATGATTTAGAAACTTACCAGGTTCAATTTCTATTTTTTGTTTAATCATTTTAGAACCAGATAAAAAATGAATAGTGGCTGTTTTACCAGAACCCGTCATTCCTAATAAAAGTATTACGTCACGATTTTCAATCAATTTATAAGTTTCATTTGCTTTTTCAATAAGATAAATTATTTCTTTAATATCCAGAGGTTGAATTTGTTTAAACAAAGATTCAAGACTTTGAAGTGCTGAACTAAAGTCATTCATTTTTATTAGGTCCAAGGCTCTTGTCAAATGTTCTTTTGCTTCTATATTAAAATTGATTTCTTCAGTAGAAAGTTTCTCATATAAAGACATATAATTGTCAAAATTTATTGGTTCTTCTTGTTTCTTTAATGAGCGGGTAATGTTGTTGTCGGGTAAAAGTTTTAAACGAATAAGATAAATTAGTCTTGAAATATACTTCTCAAAACAGTCGGGCATCAAAGTTGATATTTTATTTTGCTTATCTAATTTGGTAATAATTTCATCAGAAAATGTTTCTTGACGTATATCTTTAAGTTGATAGTTAACAAACAGAGTCTTGATTGTAATTATTTTGGTAATTTCTAGATATTAGTTCATTCAATGATGATTCTGTTTTTTTAAATATTTTAGGTGAAATATCATCTTTATATTTATACAATCCTATTGCACCTTCTTCAAGAATCGCATTTAATAATAAACCGTTCGTATCATTAAAACCCGAATGTTTAATGATCAAGTTTACTGAATCACTTTTAGCTTTCTGTTGATTAAATAAATTAGAAGTATCTAAAAATAAAAATGGTAGAATGCACTAAAAACACACACACGCACATTCAATCTCTTTCTCTCTCTCTCTCTTTCTTTTATATATAAACATTTATATATATATATATATATATATATATATATATATATATATATATATATATATATATATATATATATATATATATATATATATTATACAGTTGTCGACTGCAAGCATTAGCGGTCGCTATCTTGATAGTATATGTCCATATACTATCAAGATAGCGACCGCTAATGCTTGCGGTCGACAACTGTATAAAAACTCAAGTAAAAAAAAAACGAGCATAGCGTATTTAAATACAGTTATTTTAATAATTTATCTTATTGTAAATAGTTTCTTGAATGTTCTTTTTGGGTGAACTTATATAGAATTTATATCCCAAAATATATTTAATATATCTTTGCCTGAAATAAAACTCTATTAAATACCTTATTTTTAAAAGTGATTTATAAATAATTTGCGAAAAAGTAAATGTATTCTACAGCATTCAAAAATAAACTTAGTTATTTGTGTTTTTCATTTTTAAGATTTTCTTCCTATAATAGCATATTTGAATTTTTTTATTTTTTATTTTTAATTTGCTAACTTATATAATTCTAACAAAGTGAACACATTTGGTTGTTTATCCATAATAATTATTTAGCCTGCTTGACTAATTTATTTATTAAACAAATTATTAAATTGTCTTATTAAATTAAATTTTATGTAAGTTAACAAATTCTAACTTATCAATTAAATTGCTTCAGAATCTTCATTTTTAAACTATTTATTAAAAAAAAAATGAAAAAAATAATAATTGGCAACAAACGAAACCACAAACTTAAAAAAATAAGTCAATTTAGACATAATCAACAAACGTAAAACGTAAACAAATTTATAACTTTATTATAAACTTCAAATTGTTGAAAATGTATGTTTACCTATTTGGTGACACGTCAAGGATGCTTTACATAAAACATAGGTTTTATTGAAAATTTAATTTATAACGTGGGTGCTGTTTATAAGTTAAACTTAAAATTTACCAAATTAAGACGTGAGCGCATGAAAGCCAGTAATAAATTGAAAGTTAGTAAAGTCAAATTAAAGGCGTTGTATTTTGATGGCAAAGACCAAATACTTAAATTTTTTCATGAAAAGAAAATCATAGTGATGGAAGTGTACATTTACATGATTCAGGAACCTGGTGGGTGCTTTTTGGGACACTCTACTATTTTTAACAGAACAGCTGAAGCTATAAAATTTCAAAATCTCAATATCGCAGTATCATTTTGAACAAAAACACTCAAAAAAACACAATATCATTTTGGATGATTTGAATGAAAAAACAGAAAAAAAAACAATATCATTTTGGATGATTTGAATGAAAAAACAGAACAAAAAACAATATCATTTTGGATGATTTACAAGTGCTTTGCTAAGATGTAACAAGTGTAAACACTGAAAACAGGGTTAATGGAATTAGATTGATTAAGTTAGAAATCCAACGGCCTCTACAATTGATTATATGTTTGTTACATGCAAATTAGCTTTCAATATTTCATTTGTTTTCGAGGCTGTTGATTTTCAACCTATAAGCCATATGTAGAAAAAAAGGTGGACAAAAAAGTACTCAGTACACATCAGCTTTAACTATTTGACATTTGCCAGATGTACTAAGTGGCACTTGCTCTGTCAATTTGGAAAAGCGCAGCCCTGGAAAACTGGCTCCTCACCAATGCGAACAGTAGCCTCAGATTATTTATTTATACCACCAATCTTTCATTAAATTTAGTAACTATTGCAATATACATTACGCGCGTTTATGCCCCTATGTGGTTCGTCATCAAGAAGGAGTCTTCTATATTTCATTGAAGAAGGCATCTATGCAGCACAATAGTCAACTCACAATATCTCCAAGATATTCTTCTGGTAGCGATATCAGTTGAGCAGCCATTACTCCGAGAATTAGGAGTTAGACGTATACAGAGAGCTTGAGAAGAAAGAAGTATAAATGCTAATCAAACTAGTGTGCGACGATTAATCAAGATATTATATATCAAGATATTATAAATATATCAAGATATTATATACTATAATAAACATAAGGGAGAGAATTTTTTATAAAGTTTTTTAAAATTTCTAAAAACGTGAATATATAAACGTGAAAATAAATAAAAGGTTAAGTTATTTAATTTTGATACAATAAGGAAATTTAGAGTTATACAGCTATTAATCCACGCCCCCGTTAAACATTCAAAACCGAGTGCGCAATAACGACAATTTAGATAACCATGCAAATAGAATTTTACTCGATGATTTTTTGGCTTTATATACTTTTTGTCTGATTCTTTATTTAAACTTTAAAACAAGGGATCGTCCATAAATTACTTAACGCTAAATTTCACAATTGAAGAAAACAAAATTGATCAAAATTTTTCCTCGCAGAGTCGTATGTTTAATAAAATACTTTATACAGCTCATTAAGTTTAATGAAAATCGCCATCCTAAAAAACTGAAGATATCTTCTACTTTTTTAAAAATTAGCGTTGCGTACTTTAAGGGTGATTCCATAGCGTTTTATAGTCTATCTATTTTTTGCTGTTTTTTAGAACAAACTTATTTTACTTAAAAATATGGAATAAAGTAAGGAATAGGTATAGAATTAATTGGTGTGGAATATGTATAGAAATAGAAGTTCTGGTAAAGAACCGTATTTTACGGATTCGAAAAGATAGGATATATAAGGGAAAAGTATTAAAAGGTTCGGTTTGGAATAGACTAACAAAGACCCGTATTTTTCGGGTCTGATTTCAGCTAGTAATTTAATAATGTGTTAGTGACAAGTTTTAAACGAAATTTATTGTTCCAAATTAAACGACCGTTTGCTTTAGTTTAATTTTAAAGATAACAGTAACCTTTGAGCATTGAATCGCGCATTAAATATTTAAGAGCATAGTATCAGTATAAGATTTTAATATATAGCAATATGTGCATCATTGTAATGTTTCCATTTATAATTTCCTTTTTTTTTTAATAAAGAATATTAAGAAATTCTACTAAAGGATAGTATTTTGTTGAGCACAAAATTGTTATAGTATTCATTTTTAATAAGTTTTGCCATAACCGTAACTGTTAGAAAAAAAATATTTTCAAAAAATTGAAGTTCAATAAATAATTCATTCAACAAATCAGTTTAACAATAAATGAATAAAGTTTGTCTACAGTAAAAAAATAAACATACATTCAATTCTGTTAAAAAAAAACACGAGAGCCGCTCAATTTTTGCGGCTCCGGCTCCACCAAGTAACAGCGGCTCCCCGGCTCCACGGCTCCGGCTCTGGCTTGGCTCCACAAGCCTGACCAAGACACATTACAACACTCTTAAATTATATTTTTGCTTTGTGTATGTTAATATTATGTGATAAATTTGCCTTTTTAACCCCTTTAAAACAACATGTTAACAATTTAGAAATAACAGTTTTGAATACTACAAACCAAAATTTGCAATAAAAATTTTGATATATGGAAAATTCTAAAAATTTGCCTAGTTTGGAAAAAAATGCTGCAGAGGGTAATTCTTGTTTGATTTCACTCATTTCAGTCCCATTTTTAAGGTTTTTTATAAGAAATTTAAAAATTTTGGTTAAAAAAATAAAATGTTATAAAAAAATGTTCACTCAACCTTAATACCAAAAATATTTCTACAGTGTAACTTCTACTTAGAAAAAATGTAAATTTAATTTAAATTTAATGTAAATTTTGCGCTACTAATAATATGTTGTATGAGTCAAAAATTTTTGTAGGGGATAATTCTTGTCCATTTTTTTCATTTTGGTCTCTTTTTTATTTTTTTTATAGCAAACATAAAAATCAGGGTAAAAAATTTTTTTCTAGAAAATATTATTTTTACTCCACTCCAACATTTAATTCTGTTCCAATTAAAAGTATACGTAGTAGACGAAATTGATTGAAAGATCTACATTAGTATTAAGAGAAGTAGGAAGTAGAGGATAGGAATCAAATTCTAAAGATTTTTGAAATAAGTTGTAACATTTCAAGGACTTCTATAAAAAGATGACAAGATATCTTTTCATAGCTTTCCCACTATTATTTAGTGTTATTTAGTAGTTATTTAGTAGGAAAAAAAAGGAATTAAAAACTAAACACATGTTATTACAAAAATTACATTACAAAAAATAAATAACGTTACGGGTTTAGAAATTAAAAAGTTTAATAACTTGATGATGATCCTTTTGTGACATGGGCCTCTTAGGCATTTTTTATTATGTTTATGTATTTGGGGTTTATCCTCTCCTAGCTAGCACACATAGGTAGTTGAGGCATTGATACAATGTCGGTTATATAGGTATTGTAATTTATCCTCCTCGGGCTAGTTGCCATACGGAGGCCTATAATGATGATGATGGCAATTGATGCGATTAGCCTTAATGTCGGTTATATATAAGGTTTACAACGCAATATTCATTAGGTTTACAACGCTTCATCATCGAATCAAAAATCATGTTTGTGTTGATTGTGGTTTCATCTTCTATATAATACTGTTGAACTTAATAGTTTTAATAGTAGTAGTGTCCCTTGGAGCGTATTTGACACGAAACCCTTGGCAGCCATTGCAACCGAGGTATTGGCAAGAAAGAGTCGCAGCACTATAAGAAAACGTGAACGAATCTCTAACGTACGTAAACTTTAAACTAAGTAATGTTAAAGCATATGTTAAAACATACTGAAACATTTATCATGTTTTACAGTTTAATTTTCACTTGAAAATTACATTGCGTCAAGGTCTCCTTAATTTTGATCTATAACATTTTTTTCCTCAAAAAAATCTCTACATTATTATAAAATCTACGCCGAATAATATGCCGGTGTAGCTCGAGTGGATAAGGCGTCGAACTTCTGAACAAGGAACTAGAGGTTCGACTTCTACCAATGGCGGCAATTTTTTTTAATTTTTTTTTTTTTATTGTTTTAAAATAAA